GAACGCTGAACGCTGTCCATACCACTTTGACGCGTCGCACTGGCGGGGAGACTTACCAACACGCTTGCGGCGAGCACTAGTCGTAGCATTACGATTGCGCAAAATTGATTCGCGCTGCGGTGTACTTGTTCGTTTTGCTGGAGTATTTGCTGGTGTAGTAGCTTCACATACTTCGTGACCACTAGGACCCACGAAAAGACGTTTATAAGGTCCTACAAGACCGTGAGAATCGGGACGCTTGCGTGTCGGACATCTCGTAGCTACACCATCATGATGAGAAGTTATATTCGCGGAGGTTACTTCAGCAGCAACGTCGTGATCGTGTCCTGTTAGGGCCCCGTAACAAGGCCCAGCCGGCCTAGCGTCCGTATTGTCGGCGTCATCAAAGGTAAGACGGGTACGTATTGGCGGACTAGTCGAATGTAACTCGTTAAATGTTCGGCTGAGCGGTTGACCGCGCAACGCAAACGTGTTCGCAACTGATCCCAGACCACTACGGTCATCCTGATGTCGTAGTACTTCTTCGTGATGGTCACTGGCTCCGGAAGACATGCCCTGAGACCACACCGTTGATATCGGCGGCAGCAATGGATCCATGGCTACTCTAGTACTCGAATGGCGAAGTTTTGAGCGGTCGGAAGTGTTGACTCGACAAATCTGATCGGCGGTATCGAAGGGGCGCGGATAACGGTATCTTTGCGCAGTTTTTTTAGCGGTACCGGTAAAATTCTAACGTTAAGTACAGCGATAACACGTAACGTTGAAGACACTATTCCGCACGGCGTCGTATGTTTTGTCTAATTTCGTCAACCAAATCCCACCAATCCTTCTGGAATCTGTGATTTTTTGCACAATTGTGTACTGGATGTGTGGCTTCGTGAGCAGTTTCTGGGGGTTCCTGATTTTTCTAGTGATTTTGAGTCTCACGAACCTCGCACTGGCTTCATTTTTCTTCTTTTTGGCATCTGCTTCGCCAAATTTGAATGTAGCCAATCCGATCTCAAGCGTCGCGGTGCTGTACGTTTGTGTTTTTGCCGGCTACACCATCACAAAAGACCAAATTCCAAACTACCTCATCTGGTTGTACTGGGGGAACCCTATCGCGTGGGGTATTCGGGCATTGGCAGTGAGTCAGTACAGTCACGCACAATTCGATACTTGTGTGTTCGATGGACTGGACTACTGTGTTCAGTATGGGATGACGATGGGGGAATACACCCTCAGTACATACGAGGTACCGTCCGAGAAGTACTGGCTGTGGTACGGGATGGTCTACATGGCAGCCACGTACGTGCTCTTCCTGTTCCTGTCTTGCATCGCACTAGAGTACCATCGCTTCGAGCGTCCAGAAAATGTTGTACTTACAGATGAGAGCAAAGTTGACGCAAAAGACAGCTACACGCTCACTCGAACGCCGCGAGGATCAAAGAAACACAGCGAGTCAGTGATCTCGGTCGACCACGCAAGACAAAAGTATTTTGTACCAGGTTCCAGGATTTGTGGTACACTGTACCAGACCCGACCAACCCGAAGAGAACAATCGACTTGCTGAAAGGCATCTCTGGGTATGCACTACCAGGCACTATCACTGCGCTTATGGGCTCGTCTGGAGCTGGCAAGACGACGCTGATGGACGTGATTGCTGGGCGGAAGACTGGCGGTCAGATCCGCGGTCAGATTCTGCTCAATGGTCATCCTGCCACAGATCTGGCTATTCGACGTTCGACGGGGTACTGTGAGCAGATGGACATTCACTCCGAGTCGTCTACCATTCGTGAGGCGTTGACATTCAGTGCGTTCCTACGTCAAGGCGCCGATATTCCAGACAGTCACAAATATGATTCTGTAAACGAGTGTTTAGATCTTCTAGATCTAAATCTGATCGCTGACCAGATCATCCGTGGCAGCTCCGTGGAGCAGATGAAGAGACTGACGATCGGAGTGGAACTCGCTGCACAGCCGAGTGTCTTGTTCCTGGACGAACCGACGAGTGGGTTGGACGCTCGATCGGCCAAGTTGATCATGGATGGAGTTCGAAAAGTGGCGGATACGGGGCGTACCATCGTGTGTACCATCCACCAGCCATCTTCCGAGGTTTTCAGTGTGTTCGACAGTCTGTTACTGTTGAAACGTGGCGGTGAGACAGTCTTTGTTGGCGAGTTAGGTGACAACGCACGTGAAATGATCGAGTACTTCGAGTCGCTTGAAGGTGTAGCAACGCTTGAAGCCGACTACAACCCGGCTACGTGGATGTTGGAGGTGATCGGTGCTGGTGTCGGTAACAGCAACGGAGACAAGACGAATTTTGTGGAGATCTTCAAAGCGAGCACTCACGCTCAGCGTCTACAGTCGAGTTTAGACCAGGAAGGTGTGACTCGACCATCACCGACATTACCAGCACTCGAATTCAGCGACAAACGCGCAGCTTCCGAGCTCACTCAAGCGAAATTCCTGTTGAAACGCTTTTGCGATCTCTACTGGCGTACTGCTTCTTTTAACTTGACGCGGTTCGTTATATCCTTAGGCTTGGGTGCGCTCTTTGGTATTTCGTACGCGGGTGCAGAGTACACGTCGTACTCTGGTATCAATTCCGGTTTGGGAATGGTTTACTTGGCCGTGGGATTCATTGGTTTGGTGTCGTTCAACGGCTTGATTCCTGTTGTTGCCGAGGAACGCTCGGTGTTCTACCGTGAGCGAGCGTCACAGACGTACAATGCTCTTTGGTACTTCGTCGGTCTGAGTGTGATAGAGATCCCCTACGTCTTCGCAGCAGTATTACTATTTTTGATCCCGTTCTTTCCCCTTGTGGGCTTTACTGGGGTCGGAGCCTTCTTCTCGTGTTGGTTGGTGCTGTCACTACACGTACTACATCAAGCATACATGGCTGAGCTGCTGGTTTTCCTGCTGCC